ATAATAATAATAATAATAATAATAATAATAATAATAAATTTAACCATTTAATCGATAAAAATTAAAAAGCGATCCAAAATCAAAATTTTATATAAACTTAGTGTTTTTTATGCAAGTTTTTTTTATAAATTTAGGTGTACACAAGGCAGTTTTTGCAGGGTCTTAGGGGATGTTTGTTTAATCTTTTTGATCCAACTTTTAGACTTTAACTTTTCCAAAAAGTTAAAATAGGATAAAAGATGTTTGGTAAATGTAAAAGATCTTTTAAAACTAACTTTTCATAAAGAATGATTATGAGCATTTGGAAAAGTCACGTATGTGTGACTTTTTGGAACTTTTGAAGCCTTCACACTTAAATGACTCACATATACCCCCAACTACCACTACCAAACACCTTTTAAAAACAACTTTTGACTTTTGCTTCTCAAAATCTAATACAAACACATTTTTAAAAACATCTTTTGTAAAAAGTCTTTTTACAAAAAGTCTTTTTGCAAAAAGGACTTTTGAAGGTAAAAAGATATCCCAAACACCCCTTTAATATGACACTGACAACACCTATTTTTTATGTCTGCATGGAAAAATTTTCGTATTTTTATCTATTTTTCATGTAACAACAATCCCTATTTCATCTCAGTAAACATATCCAATGTATCCATCCCTAACGTTTTGTTCCCAAGGTTTTTTTTTTTTTTTTTTTTTTTTTTTTTTTTTTTTTAAATTCGTTAAAGGAAAGAGAAGAAAATTTTTGACAGAAAGAAAGGGAGGTGAAGGAAAATACTCATTATTCTGTGTTCCCGAGTTCGAAGTAACGGAAAGGAAAATTTTTAGTTTTTGTGTTTTCAAATTAGGAGGAAAAAGAAAATAAAACTTAAAATTTTCCTTCCCCTCACGTTCTTCCCAAATCTGCCCAATTTGGGAGGAAAATTTGAAAAGAAAATATGACTCCTAAATCCTTCCATTCCCCTCACTTTCCTTCCATTAATGAAACTCAGGAATACAATTTTTCTTTGACACCCCTCACTTTCCCTGCGTATCCTCCCATTTCTCTCCTTAAGTGGAACTCGGGAACAAGACGTAAATGTGCAATACTATTTTTGACGAATTGACATCACGTTCACGAAAGTATTATCATGATCACCAAATCTAATAAAATTCGCCACGTACGCAAGCAAAAACAGCTTCACGAATTTAGCATCCTTTTTCTTGCGAGTTAAGTGGTTACTTTTATAAAATCTTCGAATAATGGGTTGTCCGATGATGTAAAAGTCCCAAAATCTTCGAATATTCTATTGTTTGTTTGTTTATGTCTCCTCATCGGATGAAACTTGCCTCCGAGCCTCGTGTCTCATCCTTAGATGATGCCTGCCTCTAAGCCTTTTGCCTTCTCCTCAACTCGTCATTTCTTCATATTTATTTTCCGAGTCATCCAGAATAGACCTTGTCTGCTGCAACTCGAACTCTCTTTTTTCTTGCTGTTTTTTTTTTGGACTCCTCTGCCGATGGCTCCATAATCGTCGTCTACAAAAAATAGGGTTTAAGTATTCTCAATATATTCCTATATAATTACCTTTTGAGTATCAATCAATCTATTATCTTACAAAAAATAGAAGAAATAAGGAAAAGTGATAAGAGTTCAATTTAACACAAATGTTTGCCAAATTAGATCATATACAAAAGCCATATAAGTTTTTTGCCTAGTTAGTAACAGACTAACATGAATCACCTGAGGTTGATTAGTTAAATTTGCAAAAATAATAATAATAATAATAAATTTAACCATTTAATCGATAAAAATTAAAAAGCGATCCAAAATCAAAATTTTATATAAACTTAGTGTTTTTTATGCAAGTTTTTTTTATAAATTTAGGTGTACACAAGGCAGTTTTTGCAGGGTCTTAGGGGATGTTTGTTTAATCTTTTTGATCCAACTTTTAGACTTTAACTTTTCCAAAAAGTTAAAATAGGATAAAAGATGTTTGGTAAATGTAAAAGATCTTTTAAAACTAACTTTTCATAAAGAATGATTATGAGCATTTGGAAAAGTCACGTATGTGTGACTTTTTGGAACTTTTGAAGCCTTTACACTTAAATGACTCACATATACCCCCAACTACCACTACCAAACACCTTTTAAAAACAACTTTTGACTTTTGCTTCTCAAAATCTAATACAAACACATTTTTAAAAACATCTTTTGTAAAAAGTTTTTTTACAAAAAGTCTTTTTGCAAAAAAGGACTTTTGAAGGTAAAAAGATATCCCAAACACCCCCTTAATATGACACTGACAACACCTATTTTTTATGTCTGCATGGAAAAATTTTCGTATTTTTATCTATTTTTCATGTAACAACAATCCCTATTTCATCTCAGTAAACATATCCAATGTATCCATCCCTAACGTTTTGTTCCCAAGTTTTTTTTTTTTTTTTTTTTTAAATTCGTTAAAGGAAAGAGAAGAAAAATTTTGACAGAAAGAAAGGGAGGTGAAGGAAAATACTCATTATTCTGTGTTCCCGAGTTCGAAGTAACGGAAAGGAAAATTTTTAGTTTTTGTGTTTTCAAATTAGGAGGAAAAAGAAAATAAAACTTAAAATTTTCCTTCCCCTCACGTTCTTCCCAAATCTGCCCAATTTGGGAGGAAAATTTGAAAAGAAAATATGACTCCTAAATCCTTCCATTCCCCTCACTTTCCTTCCATTAATGAAACTCAGGAATACAATTTTTCTTTGACACCCCTCACTTTCCCTGCGTATCCTCCCATTTCTCTCCTTAAGTGGAACTCGGGAACAAGACGTAAATGTGCAATACTATTTTTGACGAATTGACATCACGTTCACGAAAGTATTATCATGATCACCAAATCTAATAAAATTCGCCACGTACGCAAGCAAAAACAGCTTCACGAATTTAGCATCCTTTTTCTTGCGAGTTAAGTGGTTACTTTTATAAAATCTTCGAATAATGGGTTGTCCGATGATGTAAAAGTCCCAAAATCTTCGAATATTCTATTGTTTGTTTGTTTATGTCTCCTCATCGGATGAAACTTGCCTCCGAGCCTCGTGTCTCATCCTTAGATGATGCCTGCCTCTAAGCCTTTTGCCTTCTCCTCAACTCGTCATTTCTTCATATTTATTTTCCGAGTCATCCAGAATAGACCTTGTCTGCTGCAACTCGAACTCTCTTTTTTCTTGCTGTTTTTTTTTTGGACTCCTCTGCCGATGGCTCCATAATCGTCGTCTACAAAAAATAGGGTTTAAGTATTCTCAATATATTCCTATATAATTACCTTTTGAGTATCAATCAATCTATTATCTTACAAAAAATAGAAGAAATAAGGAAAAGTGATAAGAGTTCAATTTAACACAAATGTTTGCCAAATTAGATCATATACAAAAGCCATATAAGTTTTTTGCCTAGTTAGTAACAGACTAACATGAATCACCTGAGGTTGATTAGTTAAATTTGCAAAAATAATAATAATAATAATAAATTTAACCATTTAATCGATAAAAATTAAAAAGCGATCCAAAATCAAAATTTTATATAAACTTAGTGTTTTTTATGCAAGTTTTTTTTATAAATTTAGGTGTACACAAGGCAGTTTTTGCAGGGTCTTAGGGGATGTTTGTTTAATCTTTTTGATCCAACTTTTAGACTTTAACTTTTCCAAAAAGTTAAAATAGGATAAAAGATGTTTGGTAAATGTAAAAGATCTTTTAAAACTAACTTTTCATAAAGAATGATTATGAGCATTTGGAAAAGTCACGTATGTGTGACTTTTTGGAACTTTTGAAGCCTTCACACTTAAATGACTCACATATACCCCCAACTACCACTACCAAACACCTTTTAAAAACAACTTTTGACTTTTGCTTCTCAAAATCTAATACAAACACATTTTTAAAAACATCTTTTGTAAAAAGTTTTTTTACAAAAAGTCTTTTTGCAAAAAGGACTTTTGAAGGTAAAAAGATATCCCAAACACCCCCTTAATATGACACTGACAACACCTATTTTTTATGTCTGCATGGAAAAATTTTCGTATTTTTATCTATTTTTCATGTAACAACAATCCCTATTTCATCTCAGTAAACATATCCAATGTATCCATCCCTAACGTTTTGTTCCCAAGTTTTTTTTTTTTTTTTTTTTTAAATTCGTTAAAGGAAAGAGAAGAAAAATTTTGACAGAAAGAAAGGGAGGTGAAGGAAAATACTCATTATTCTGTGTTCCCGAGTTCGAAGTAACGGAAAGGAAAATTTTTAGTTTTTGTGTTTTCAAATTAGGAGGAAAAAGAAAATAAAACTTAAAATTTTCCTTCCCCTCACGTTCTTCCCAAATCCGCCCAATTTGGGAGGAAAATTTGAAAAGAAAATATGATTCCTAAATCCTTCCATTCCCCTCACTTTCCTTCCATTAATGAAACTCAGGAATACAATTTTTCTTTGACACCCCTCACTTTCCCTGCGTATCCTCCCATTTCTCTCCTTAAGTGGAACTCGGGAACAAGACGTAAATGTGCAATACTATTTTTGACGAATTGACATCACGTTCACGAAAGTATTATCATGATCACCAAATCTAATAAAATTCGCCACGTACGCAAGCAAAAACAGCTTCACGAATTTAGCATCCTTTTTCTTGCGAGTTAAGTGGTTACTTTTATAAAATCTTCGAATAATGGGTTTTCCGATGATGTAAAAGTCCTTGATCGTTTTAATTTTTTTATTGAATACCCCTCCCCCCGTTTTTTTTTTTTTTTTTTTTTTTAATCTTTATGAGTATTTTTAATAACATCCTAATATACGATATGGATGTTAAAATCGTTAGATATATTAAAAATGTCTACCTTTTTAAATATTCGTGTAAAGTTTTGTGCCAAACATTGATGAATAAACCTCCAGATTTTCTCGTACTATTATAATATTTACCCACGTTGTCTCGATTCAAAAATCCAAATTATAGCATTTCTAGATTTCGACGATATTACTTTATATTATCTTGTACGGGTTGCCGCGGAGAATAACGGAGTACTGTCGACGACGTTAAATCCAATCAAGCTGCATTTAACGGCCGACGTCGTTTGTGTCGCCGGAACAGCGACGTTAGCCGCAGTGCAATTCACCGTTCGGCGGTATGGTCCAAACCATTTGTTCTGCATGAACCGGTTTTTTCTCCATGGAGGGAGGAGTAATCCTCTGCTCTTCAGTGATCGCCTTATTTCGTCGCTCATTAATTTCACGATCGTCTTCAAATCTGCAGTTTTTCCGACGAAGACAATCGGTAATTTTTTTGAGAAGCGTTGGAGTTGATTCGTCGGTCTAGCGATCTCAAACTCTCCGGCAAAGTTGAGGTCGATGAAGTAACGAATGCCGGAATCGGATCGGACGACGTCGATGAACTCGTAGTTCCCGGCCGTGAGTCCACCGCAGCTCTCCCACTTTGTCTTGCAAATCGCCGCGTTATAGCCGAGTTTTTGAAGGAAGTAAATCATGTTTCGGTTGAGGATCTGTGTGCTGGGTCTTAGAGATCGAAAAACCTCCATGGCTTTTACAACATTGGTGAAGAGGACGTTTCTGAACTTATCAGCATTTAAACTCTGCAATGTCGAAATAATTTCGATACATTTTGCTTCCATACGATCGGAATTCGAATCCGAATCCGAATCCGAATCTAAATCGTTATCCTGCAAATGAATTTCATCTGGCTCATCACCGTTGATGGCACCTTCATTTCCGTCTTCACCGAAACAATGAAGAAGGTAAGACAGAGAATGATCTGACGATGATTCACCATCGCCGATTTCGCTGCCGGTGCCGCTGTGTTCGCTACCGCTGCTACTGTACACCATATCCGTCACCCTGTCACGGCCGACGATTCGGTCCTTAACTCGTTCATCTAGAGGATCAGTTACACGCTTTGATCTGACTGCCATTTCTTCAAATGATCTTCAGAAAAACCTAATAATTGATGAAGGTATATAACATACTTGAGAAGGAAGGATATAGTCGAGAATATTCCTATTCCATGGGATTACTGAAATTCAAAAATAAATCAACATTATCTTGAATGATTTGGTGTGATTATTGTATTTGGAAAGAGGTTATTTAATTGGAATTTGAAATTTTGTAAGGAGAGAGAATCTCACCATATGAAATGCTTGAGAAGCATGGAGCATATCCAACGGCGTGAAAGGGTAGATTCCAATGTGCCGGTGTGACTATGGAATGGAATTATAAAGAAAGAGGGGAATGATGTGGATATTTATAAGGTGTGGGACCTGTAGACAAGCACGTAGCAAAGTGGGTTTTGGAATGGTCCCACTGATGGCTATTGGAGTATGCCAAGAGTGAAGGACGCATGGTTTGGTTTGTGTCAAAAGAAATTTCTTTTTTGAGTGTAAGGGATGATCAAAACCGAACAAAGTCACAAACGAATCAAAAGTTAAATACATTTTTATCAATTTCCTGTTTAACAAAATGTGTATTTGTTTTGAAAAATTAGTTTTGTTAATCAAATAAAAGAAAAACAATTCCTTATTCAAATTATATTTACTATTTTAAAGATCGACGTTTAAAAAAAACAAAAATTTTCAAATTTTCGGTTGGTAGTCAAGTAAAGCCTTCTATAAGAATATTGGATATGGGTTCTAAAACCCCATGGAGGGCCAAGGTGGCAATGTTGCACCTCCACGACAGTATAAGTATAACGCTGAAAACACCACCCTCTTGCTCATTGTATTAATTCGCGTTGGTGTTATAACATCTTGAAACGGGAGAGTTTGAACACAAACAATCATATCATCATTGACAACTTCCAATTTAATATAAAAAATTACATATATTTTACCAGTTTACCACATTTTCATCACACATCACACTGTTATTTTCTTTCTCTCTTTTTTTATACAACTCAATACATCTTCAACCAAAAAATGAAGGAAAACTCAAACACCTCTCCATCAAACCGAAATCCACAACCAAACATAACCACTCTGATTGGATTCGTCAAATATGAAAATTATATAAACCTATTAAACTTTCAAAGTTCACCACAAATGTTATTACAGTTACAATGAACCTATTTCATTCTCACCTCACCTCCGCTCCAATTTCCTTCCTACATTCAACAAAATCTTTATGGCCAAAACTCAAATTTACAACAAAACTTTTTTGGTATTTTTGTTTCGATGCCAAATGTCCAAACACAAACAACGACCCAACCACCACCCACACAACCGTCAGTAGAAATCATTATCGAAACGCAATCGATAAGTAATAGGAAATGGAAAAGGAGACGGAAAGGGAAATGTAAAATAATTGACATAGAAAATGAAGAGGATCCACAATGGTTGACACTTGAGGAGTATACGTTAGCGGTAGCGTGGTGTGGGGCTTCAATAAATGAAAGTCATGAAAATGGTATGAAAATATGGGCTTATTGAGAAGCGGTGCTCGCCAAATTTCATAGTATTTTGAAGAAAAAAGCATACCGCAATCGCGATATGTTTAGTAATAAATGAGCTCAAATGAATACGAGGTGCACAAAAACAATATCGAGTCGAAATAGGTCATGTGTTCGAGTTCGATAAATCATGGTAGATGCTTAGAAGAGATCTAAAATGGACTACCACTCCAAAATCGACGGAGGTTAAATCTAAGAGGTCTCGAAATTCGAGTTCATTCAACATGTCCGATACACAGACTCACATGGATCTCAACGCCGACACCAATGAGATTTCGAACAACATCTAAAAGATCTCCCATCCACAATGACTGGTAGGAGGCGACAAAGCGAAGCGCTCTGCAAAACATACAGAGAAAGTTGAAAGAAAAGTTAGGCATATGGTGGAAATTGAAGCAATGTTCCAGTAACACAATTTACTACAAAAAAAAAACGATTTACGACGTGAGCATTTGGATTTCTTTCTTAGGCAAGCACGGGAGAAGGAGCGATGCGAGCGAGACGATATGACGAATGAGTTGGTAATTCTTAAGTCTAGCGATGAATGTTTGGTGCCCGAATATGCAAAAGTGTTATGAGTGTTGAAGGTGAAGATTCGGGCAAAACATTTGGGCCATTAGGACTATTATTTTATGTTTGTATATTTTTTTTTGGTCTTGTAATGTTTTCTTTAAAATTCAAATGTTATGGTTAATTTAAATATTATGTTTTATTTAAATAACATGTTTATAAAATTAAATTTGTTTTTATAATTATTAAAAAAAGAAACTCGAAAAAAGAAAACAAAAAACAGAATGAAGACATGTTATAACGTGTGGACCGTTTCCTTACAATGTTGTCATACATGGACTTGACGTGACATGTGCGGTTGTAACTTTTTAGTGTTATAACATCATACCCATACCCATGTAAATAATAAAGAAACTTGAAAGTTTTCATATATAGAGAGAATACGTACAACAACACTATTTATACAATACAAAAGCTTGTAATTGGTTCTATAATAATGCCTAGGATCAAGGGAATTGATAGACTGGAAAGGATATTATACACCAAATTAGGGAGATACAATTCTTAATATATAGAGATTCATCCTTAAAATATTCCCCAAGACAGACGGTCGTGGAGTGAGTCTAATCTTGGAGATAAACCAAGTGAAGTGTTATATGAAGCATGCCTTTGAGGACCTATTCACACACAAAATGAAATTCAAGGGCAAGATGTTTCATTCTTGAATGAAATATAGGGTTGGAAGAGTAGTGAGTGGCTTCCAAGTTGCACAGTAGATAATTGGTTTATGAGGGATGGTGAGCTTGATTTCGTTGAGAAGTGACTGAAGCCACAAAAGTTCAGCCATGGTGTCAGCCACCACTCTAAATTCTGCTACTGTGGACGAGAATCGAGATAGAGCACGTTGTTTCTTTGAGGACGACTTGATGTGGTTGCGGCGTAGATAAACAATAAGTTCAGCTGTGGATACATAATCATATTGTCACCAGCCTAATCTGCATCACAAAAGGCGTGTAGGGTAGAGGTGGTATGTTTTTGAATAAAAAACTATAGTTAATGGTTCTATGAAGATAGCAAAGTAACCGTTTTTAGAGATGTCCAGTGATCTTGATTAGGGTGATTTATGAGATAGGAAAGTTTGTTGACACTATAAGAGATGTATGGTTGTGTCATGGAGAGGTATTGGAGGCAACCAATAATAATACAATAGGTATTTTCATCAGTTATCGTTTTTTCTGGCTGTTGTACAAGTGGTGGATGAGGAGTCATAGGAGTGGAAATAGGTTTGATTTCAAGCATATTGTGACAAGCAAGAATATCATAAATGTATTTTTCTTGAGAGAGGTGAAGACCTTGTGGTGTATGAGTGACCTCAATTCCAAGAAAGTGAGAGAAAGAGCCAAGATCATTGAGAGGGTTCAGAGAGTGAGTTAGTAAATCCATAAGCAGTTAGGTAGTTACGTGGTTCAGTATACCAAGCGTGTGGTGCTTGCTTAAGTCCATATACTACTTTATGAAGTTCGCAGACATGATTTGATTTTTTGGGGTTAATAAAACCTGGTTGTTGAGACATATATACATTTTCTATGAGATGGACTTGAAGGAAAACATCGTTGATGTCAAGTTGGCGGATAGTCCATTTGTTGGTGACCACCAGGGAGAAAAGGGGATGAACTGTTGTAGGATTTATAATAGGAATAAATGTTTGTGGGTAATCCAGTATATGTTTGTGGGTAATCTAGTCTGAGTCGTTGGTGGAATCCTTTGGCTACTAAGCAAACTTATAATTTATCAAATTTTCCATTGCGGTGGTGTTTAATGCGATACACCCGTTTGAATTGTCCAAGATTTATTTTTTATGAGAGCCTGTGTTTGTTTAGTATAGCTTCAAGCCAATGAGGAATAATGAGGGATTGCGTTGTTGTGTTAGGAGTGGTATAAGGTGATAGAAGAGATGTGTGATGAGCATGTTTATTGATATACTTGGGGTTTGGTTTAATGATGTTATGGGAGAGGCAAATAGAATAGTGGTGAGGTTGTGGTAGGGGTAGGTAGTGGTGGGAAAGTTGCGGGTTGTGTCATTGATGAAGGAGATAATTGGAAACTAGTAGTTGTGGCCGAGGGTGTGGTAGTGTGGGGTGGTATATAGGAGGGAGGGGGCTGGTTGGTGAGTTCTAAGGTATAGAAGGGGCTGTAGAGATGGTGGCAGTGGCTGGAATTGATTTTGGGGGTATTGCTAAAGGGGTGAGTGTTATGGATGAGATCCTTTTGGTGAGTTCTAAGATAAGTGGTGGTGGTGAAAGTGTATAACCAAAAGGAGAGGGGAAGACTGGAGCTGGAGATTAAAACAAGACATGTTTCAACAATATGTATGTGGCGACGTTCGAAAAATCCATTGTGCCCACGGGTGTAAGGAGGAGATATAAGATGGCCATTATCATCTTCAAGAAGGATTTGTTTAAGCTTTTGTACTCACTGCCATTATCATAGTAAAGGTATTTTATGGGCTGCTTCCTTAAACTCTCTTTATAGACCAGCTTCGTGAATAAGGCTTACTAATGGTAAAAACTGACTTTTCGTGTGTATATATATCTATATATATATATATATATATATATATATATATATATATATATATATATATATAAACTTTTAATTTTACAATATATAAGGGTGTATTTTAAACTTTTAAAATACCAGGGTTTTAAATTTTAAAATTTTCAAAATTAAACTATTTAATTTAAATTTTAAATTTTAAAACAAAGGGTGTATTTTTTTTAACCTTTCAAAAATACTAGGTTAAATTTTTAATAATTAAAATAAAAAATTAATTTTATCTTTATCAAAAACTTTAACCCCATCATGAATTTATGATAAGGATACAAAATTACTGAATTTAAGGTAATTATCCTAATCAATCCATGAGACAATTATCAAAACCGAAAACTTAGGATCTGACAG